TGATGCTGAAGCTCAGTGTGACGGTCTTCATGTGTTTTCCCGTTTATTCACACGGTTCGTTTCTCACCGACCTGCAGGAACGTTCTGCTTCCATCAGAGCGCCGCCTGGAGACCAGGCGCAGGTGGAGCAGTGTGGTGTTCTCTAAATGTCATGTTAAACAAAAGCAACACGGTCCTCCAATCAGCTAATAGGAAGCAGCTCCACCCTGATGATATCATAACTCATGTTCAGAGCCGTTACATCAGTTATCAGGAAGCAGAGCGGCGCCACACGGCGAGGCTGCCCTGCAGGTTTAGTGTTCACAATCACAGCGACACACTCACATATACACACCTGCTGAATGACATCACAAATTTGTCCAATATGAGGTTATTTTAAATATTTGTAAGCCTAAAACCTGACAACAGTAAAAGGTTTTACATCACTAACACTGAACATGTATGACGAGGCATCCTCTACCGTGTCACACGTCAGATTACCGTCACATCATAATCAATAACCTGAGCCGTCGCCTCTACGCCCTTCAGCTTCCTGTCACATGACATGTCAGCAGAGGAAATGTCAGGCGCTGCAGCAGAGCGCCCCCTGCTGGAGTGAATAAACGCCAGGGACCAAGTCTCAGTCCTTCAGACCACAGACTGTAAATGAACGATGGAGCTGAACTGTGAGGTCAGCGGTTACCATCTTAACCGCTTCCTGTCCTAAAACGTGTCTGGAAATACTTCAGCGAGCTCACAGATCAGCTGGCTTCTGTCCAATCAGACTTCAGAGTCAGCCCCGGATTAAACAGGACGCAGCTGTTACCTTTACATCCATCCTTTATGTACAGTCTGATTTTGGCCAGAGACTAGGGCTGTTCGATGTAACGATATATATCGGATGACGATATAAGAACGTCTATCGTTTCATTTTACGCTATCGTTTGTTTCGTGGTGTCGCAAAATAAACTGTTTACGGCAATATTTTTTCATCGTTTTGATGGTCACTGTAGTGGCTATATTCATTTCTTAAAGTTCTCTCTTTCTCTTATATAACCACACTACAGACAGACAAGCGCCTGCTTTTATGCGTTGTCGTTAGCAACAACGACGGTAACACCATCGCGTGTCCGCTTGTTTATGTTCCACATAAACCTTTCACAATAAAGCTCAAGATCCTGTTGAGACTTTTCAAAATAAACTGAATCATGTGAAAGAGCAGATTATTTACGGATGAGAAGTAAAAAAAAGACGCCAGGTGCTAAAAAATAAACGGAAGACTCAAACGTTAGAACAGGCTTTTCCCCGCAGCACGCCGTGTAATAAATACAAAGAAAACGGCGGTCGTTACAACTTATGTCTAAAAATGTATCATTTCATGCATCTGTTAAAACGTCCGACTCCAGGTACACGACGCCCAGCTGAAAACACTTCATGCAAGTCGAGCTGAATTTATTTTTTGTGATTTATATCGTTATCGGACGATATAATTCTTATATCGGGATATGAGATTTTGGTCATATCGCACAGCCCTAGCAGAGACCACAGACTCAGGTTAAGACATCACCGGCTCACTGACACAGCTCGAGGTGTTACGGCTGAATACGAGTCTGTTTAGAGGTGTGAAATGACTGTCAGCTGTTATTGATGGGCATGCGGTAAATAAAGTACGAAGAATCATGTGGAAGAAACAAACCCGCCCTGTGGTGTGACATCACTTCCTGTCTCTTTTACCTCATTTTTTCGTTTTACATTTTAAATACCTGACTTGATCTTTACCCCGTATTTTAGTACATTTATTCCTTAGTAAAGATTTTATTTTGATCCATTTTATTTGAAGACCTGCAAACCTGTCGATAAATATTTGTCTGATTATTTTTTGATTTGAAAACGGGCAGTAAATGATGAAACTGAAATGATTTCACAGAGCTGGACGCTGATTTTTACTGACCACGGCTGTTTTCAATCTGACCTCAGATCAGAAGACAAAGCGCAGAAAACAGGAAACACTTTATTTAATTATCACTTTCTTACAGACCTGAAGTCAGTGAGACATCACACACAGAGGTAAGAGTGTCGTCATAGCAACACAAGACACTGCAGACACGAACGCAAACCAGGATCAATAAATCAATAAATCAGTTAAGTCTGTCACCATTAAAACTTCAAGTTAATTCAGTAATAACAAAACACAGCTTCACTGTTACAGCAACAGCCACCACTGGGGGCAGCAGAGAGACACAGATAGAGGGTGGGACACACCGTGAAGAAGAAACCAATAGAAGGCACATGTAGGCCACAGAGGCCTCCCTCACAGGACACGTCCAGCAGCTTTCACACATCCCATAATTTCTCAACACATCATAAACTAAAATCAAAGCGCTTCAGAAAAATGCTTTGTGAGAGGAGCTTCAGCAGGAAGGTCAAACCTGAAATGTTTCCCTGTTAATACAGGTTCAGTGCAGGGTTGTCCAACTGGAGGTTCCCGGCCCAGGTAAGGGTCACAGGTGTGTTCAGGAAACCCCCAGTCTTTCAAAATAAAAGCACAGCTCCAGACCTAAATGGTAATGTCCTCTAAAACACAAGCTGCAAAGAAAATATCCAGGCTGATTAATCGATTAATTAACAGCAAGTGATTAATCATCGAACAAAGAAGTGGCTGCTGATCGATCAATAAAACGTGAATTATTGATTTACTGACCTGAAAATAAAACGTTTATTAATGAAATGAATGTGAGGCGTTTCGGCGCCCCCTTCTGTTTCCTCTCGGTGACTAACAGCATCTCCCTCCGTTACCGATTCACCTGCTGATCGACTCCTTAATGGATCCTTTGACTCTTTGTTCTGAAACGTAGTGGGAGGAGTGGTCGTGATTGTCCCTCAGTGCGTCTCCACCCGCCCGCTGCTCCGTGCCTTAAAGTGAGTCTGATCAGCTGACGGAGGAGCGCTGAGATTGGCCAGTCTGTGTCACACGTTGATGACGACGTCGTCGTCATCTTCGTCCCTCGCCTCCTCCTGTAACGTGTCTGTGGGCCACCTTCCCCCTGCCTCCTCCTCGGAGACTCCACAGGGGCCGGTGATGTACCTGTAGTCGCCACCGATGGCAAACGCCGCCCCAGACCCAATCAGCCAGTCTTTCTCCTCGTGCTCCACCTGCCGCTGCCATGGGACGCCCCAGTTTGAAGCCGCCGCCGCCTCCTCAGGCCCTGGGGCCCGGGCTCCTTCCCCATGCTC